TTTAACGTGGCAAAAGTGCTGCAGTCCCTCATTCCAATTGTTGATCAGTCTGTAAGTATAGACTGTAGAGTCAGCCTTATTCCCATTCCACAACCCATGGCCTTTCAGTTTATTAAACTGTTGGTGAAAACCTCGTTAATTTTTGCAGGTCGTGGAGAAGTCTATTCGTCCTGCTTTAGTGGAACTGAGTGAGGATCCAGATGTAGACGTGCGTTTCTTTGCGAATGAAGCACTTCATGCGATCGACAATGCCATGGTCTCAGGCTAGATATGTGCCAATAGTTTTTCACAGCTTAAAATAGTTTATTTCTTCCTCCCTCGTCGACATTTTATGGTTGATTGATTGTTGTGCAATTCTTCTGCATTTGAGTTGTATCGACTTTGCCCTTTCAAAGTGCTGGGTAGCAGACATGGAATGGAGATGTAATTTTGTAACCTAATATCTGATGCGAGAGAAACTCAGCCTTTTTGCATAATAGAGAAAGCTTCATCTAACACCTTGGAATTTTGTAATTGTGTTGTAGAATTTTTATGAAGATTCTTTTATATAGTTCGAGTACTAGCAATATACTAATTAAACTATGATTTACTATCGGTGTAATCAAAATCGCGTTTTGAAGCAATTGTAATTGTTTCGCTCCAGAATATCTTGTTTTGCTTTTGTGTCGCCAAATGGGGTAATTTGGACCAGTTGTCTCATTTTGAGGCAATTGGGCCAAATTGCCTCATCAAAAGACTCATCCAAACGATCCTAAAATTCACTCTTTTAAGCATCATTTACCAGAATGCTTCCATTTAAAATTGTAAGTTTCTTTACTAATTTAGCCAAAATCACATTTTAAAACTTAGGTTTAGTACATTTTTCTTTTTGTAAGAAACGGGCGCTAAAGGGCGCCCAACCTATCAACTGAAAACAAACCTGGGGCTTTGATTCCCCTCCAGGTCATACAACAGCCAGAAGCTAAGAAGGGGAGATGGGATCGAAATCTAGTGAACCCCAAAGGGCAGGGTATGCCCCGTTGACGCCAGGAAGTCGGCCACGACGTTACCCTCCCGATAGACATGCTCAATTTCTGTCTCCCATTGCCTCTGTCTCAATCTTCGCACTTGAAGCACAAGCTGGTAGTGGGGATGTGATGTGTTCGCAGAATGGATAAGCTCCACCACCGCCTTTGAGTCCGTTTGGAGTACCGCTTTCTTGACTCCGAGCTGCCACGCTCACTGTAAACCCTGGATGATGCCCACCAATTCAGCTCGAGTAACCGAGCCCTCTCCCAGATTCATAGCAAAAGCGCCTAAGAATCTTCCATCCTCATCACGAATTAAGCCTCCTGCCGCCGAGCTCTGTTGGCCCAAAGCCACCGACCCATCTGTGTTGATACACGACCACCCGGGTTGAGGCTTCCGCCAACCAATCTGCCGCCAGGTGCCCTGCTCTTTGTCTCCCCGCAGAGATCCTTCTCGTGAACAAGCCTCCTCCATACTGTGTTTCGGTCTCCGGGCGCCACTCTGTATTTGTGATGCTGCCCCCATTCTTTTCTCAAACACCAACTCATTACGGTTCCTCCATAGTAGCCAGCAAACTGCCGAGAACAACATCGCATCGAGATTCTCACTCCTTCCTGATAGGTAATAGAGCTCCCATTGCACCATCTCCTGTTGGAAGAACTTATCATCTGGTTCGTTCACAAGGAAAGAGGACCAAACCTCCCTCGCAAAAGGGCAGCCGCGGAGCACGTGCAAAGTGGTTTCGACTCCATCCCCACAAACAGGGCAAGAGCAACGACTGGTCAGATGACGCCTCGCTCTTTCCGCGTTCGTCAACAGTCTATTGTGCCCCACCAACCAAAGAAAAGCTCTGATACATTGAATCGGCGGGGCCTTCCAAATTGCTCGCCAGACGTGATTGGATGGCGCAGGCTGATGCTCCTCATCAATTAGAGCATATGCCGTCTTAAGTGAGAACTGGCCATTTGGGGTAAACCGCCACGTTGGCTCATCATCTTCAACCTCACTTGGAACCTCGTGGAGCTGGATCTGTTGTACCACCTTGGGGGGGGGGGGGGGGGGGGGGGGGGGGGGGGGGGGGGGGGGGGGGGGGGGGGAGGGGGAAGGAAGGCGTTAATGTAATCCAAGTTCCAACTTCCGTTGAGGACCATCTCTGCAACATGCACCGATCTCGCTGCCTGTGATAGCCCAGCCATCAAATCCGACAGGGGTGGGCCATCAAAGAGCTATCTATCTTCCCAAAAACGAACCCGAGTACCACTACGAACATTCCAAAGAACTCCGTCTGGCACCCAATGGATCACCCTTAGAACGCCACGCCATAGGTTAGAGAGACGACCTGTCGTACGTGGCTTGAGTACTCCATCTTCTTGCTTCAAGTATTTGCCGCGAATTACCTTGGCCCATAAGCTATTATGCTCCTTCAGCACTCTCCAAGCAATTTTCAGCATAAAAGCGTCATTCATCGTTGTAGCATCCCGCATTCCCAGCCCTCCCTCATCTTTCGGACGACAAACTGTATGCCAGTCAATAAGATGGACCTTCTTCCCTGCCTCGGAGCTTCCCCAAATGAATGCTCGCAACTTACGGTCAACATAATCTCGGACACCAGCCGGTAGGAAGGCCGTTTGCATCATATAGGCCGGTAAAGACGCCAAGACTGACTGAGAAAAGGTGATGCGTCCAGCTAAAGAGAGCGTAGCTACTTTCCAGCCTGCCAACCTCTTGTCAATCCGATTAATTAGCTCCAAATAGGTTCTCTTATAGACTCTGTCATGGATAACTGGGACCCCTAAATATCTCCCCATGTTCTTAGTTTCCGGAATACCTAAGCTATTGCTTAAGGACACTGCCTGATTGGCCGGTACATTCTTTGAAAAGTAAACCCGGGACTTCGGTTTGTTGATTTGTTGCCCCGAGGCTCCCCCAAGAACCTTAAAAATCTGGTTGATGACCTGTACATGCACATCAGAGGCTACACCAAAAAGAATGAGGTCATCCGCAAAAAACAGGTGGAACAGGTCTGGTCCTGCTGCTGAGAGCCGAATAGGTTTCCATCTTCCGTCATCAACAGCCGCACGGATGAGGTGCCCCAGCCTCTCCATGCATAGTGTAAATATGTATGGAGAGACATATATAGCCACTTTTTGAAAAATACACAGACATAGCTACACTTTTAAAACATTGTTGACTAATCTAGCCATTTCCCAACGAACATTTAACGGCGTTAACGTCCCTGTCAATTAAGTGAACGAATAGCCGATCTTTCTGCCACATGGAAGACACGCCAGTGCCAACGGGACTAACTAAGAGACGTGGACGCCGCCACGTCAGATAATGAAAAATATTTTTTAATATTCATTTTTTTATATATCTGACATGGATTCCACCACAATTTATTATATAATAATAATTTATTAGTTCCCCTTTAATTCCAATATTGTGTCATTAACCTCTGCCATCTTCCTAGATCCGAAATCCACCTACGCCCCTTTTACTTCTTCCCAACCGAAACTCCCAAATCCTTGCACAACAACGCCCTTCTTCTTCTTGATTTGATAAAATCCATTTCGTTTCTCACCACCGAACCCGTCCTCCGTCGATGAACCGATTGGCCAAATCACACCCATACCCTAAACCTAGAATCAACATCCACCAGCTCATAAACGCTAATCCCTATTCCCCAATCATCTATTGTCGCCATCGTTCTACCTCCGTCCAATGAAGAAGCATCCATGGGGAAGTTGTGGCGTTGAAGAAATCAATAATGGAGACTGACGAGGGCACAAGGCAATCCATCCCGAAACTGGCCTCGAGTAATAAATCTCGATTGCAGAAGGGACGGTGGTCGGATTCGAAAACGGTCTCTGATTTGTGTTTGCGGTCAATGATTGTAGACGGAGACCATTCGAACTGGTCGCCGATGTAGCAGGGGAAGTTTTCCTACCACCTTCCACCCCACCGCTTCCGAACCGTCGTAGTCAGAACCGCCGTCCGATGCTACTCTCCGTCCGGATGCACGGCTTCTCTTAGTCAGAGATCGAGCACGAAGGATGGGATCGAAGGATAGGGTCAATCGAGAGAGAAGGAGATGAACAGATGAGGGAAAAAGGGAAAGTGATTCGATCTCTTTCTCTCTCCCTTTCTTACTTTATTTTTAATTAATCATTTATTCATTAATTAAAAAATCAATGTTTTCCACCTGGCAAGGACGCAAGCTAAAACATGCCACATCAGCCGCTGCCGTTAGTCCAGTCAGCGAGTTATGTGAACCGTCAAAGAATTAGACGGAATTGGCTATATCTGTGTATTTTTCAAAAAGTGGCTATATTTGTCAAAACCGTGAAAGTTATGGCTATGCAAGTGTATTAAACCTAAAACTTAAATCAACTGTCACTTCACTCGAGATCAAGTCCTTGCTCAGAAAGTTGAAATTTCAACCTATCTCTATCATACTTCAACTAGGAGATCCCTTTACCAAAGCTCTTCATTACACACATTCATCGATCTGATTTCCAAACTAAACTTGAAATCCATTCACGTTTAGTTCGTGGAAGAGTATTAGGTCACCAAAACTCTGATCACCAACGATCACTTAAACTAAGTTTCATTTCATCAATCAAAGACAAATCTCTGAAAATTTAAGAGCTTACGCTTTTACTTTTTCGGATCACCAAAAATAATTCCACATAGAATCACACTTTTCACCGCATTGATTCCGCTAACCTGTCTGATTATATTTCCGGTACGATTTCACAAATCGATGTAACTTCCGGATGTTGGATGACATGTACGCAAAAAAAAGAAAGGGAGGGAGGAGATGCTGATGAGAGCACACATTGGAATGCCCAATTTCCAATCTCATCTCCGAAACCTTTTTTGTTGACGAAACAGCCTGAAAGACAAAAACAGAGTAACTGAATCTTGTTACGTGACAGGGTTCGTCTCTGCCCTATATAAACAGATGCATCTCTGCCCTCTTTTCCACATCTCTCCAATAGCCATCAAAACTCCACCACAGTCGATTACTTCACAGAGTGAAAACAGAGGAACTAAAAATGGTGAAGGGAGCCGCATCAATGGTTGCAGTAGTGTTGGTTATTGCCCTGGCCGTGATCCAGCTGGTGACTGCAGGAGGAGAAGAGGGCATTAGCTGTGGGCAAGTGGACGCCTACTTGATACCTTGCGTTCCTTACCTCACCACCGGCGCCGGCGACCCTGCCCCCAAATGCTGCGAAGGAGTCCGCAGCCTGAAGGCCAACACCGCCACCGCCGACGACCGCCGGGCTGCCTGTGGATGTGTCAAGGCCGCCGCCGGGCGTTACCCGGTGAAGGATGACGCCGCTTCAAGTCTCCCGACCAAATGTGGGGTGGATATTGGAATTCCCATCTCCAAGGCCATTGACTGCCAGACGTAAGTAGTTCTGTGCATGTTGTATTTTTTTTTTCTTTTCTTAATTACTCTGTTTTATTATTGGGAATCATCTTTTGATTTGATGATTTTTGGTTGTTGATTGAATGAATGCAGCATCAACTGAGTATCGGGAAGATGGAGATGCTTTAGCAAAGTAATAACGGTGTGGTTCCTTCGGGGTTTTAAGTTTTTTGGTGTATGATTTCGGATATTTACTACCGAAAATAGTAATTAATCTCTCGTCATGAATAATTGTAAGAAGGCGATCGAATAAAGACCGGTGTATTAAGTGGGAATTCTTGAATCAGCTGGTATGTGTTGACATATTGTTGTTTCTTTCGTTGTTTGGATGGAAATCATTGGACGTGAATGTTTCTTTTTTATTCTTAACTTCAAATGGCAATATTCGATACATTGGATATCAAAAGAATAATGGGATGAAAAAATATGCTATTAACCCCTTTACTTTAATTAAAAAAAAAAGTCCTTACGTTGAAATGCTATTAACCCCTTTTCTTAAGTTTCCATCCGGTTTTTGTTAGTGATGTTGAGTAGGGATGGCAATCGGTCGGGTTGGGGCGGGTTTTGTCAAACCCAAACCCAAACCCATGGGTTTATCCGCCAAAAAAATCCGGGGTAAAACCCGCTGGGTTTGAAAAACTCAAACCCAACCCATCCCGCTGGGTATCCGCGGGTTTATGGGTACCCGTGGGTTTTTGTGGTAAAAAATTTACAATAACAAGTTTCTTTCAAAATAAAAGTTTAACATTAATTTTCTCATACAAATTATTCATACAAAAAACACCAATCTAGAGCATACAAACAAAACCGCAAATGATCAATACAAATTGTTCAAAATTAAAGATAAACATCTATAAACAATAAGATTAATTGAAAGCTTCTTACTCGTCAACTAAGTTTCTTCACTCTCCACTTCATAATATCAACTTCATTCTAAACAATTAGAAACAACAAATTATATATGTCTCCACGAACATAAAGATATTAAGTGTTTAAGGAAGATATATTATTTAGAGTATTAAATATACCGGGAAAGTAATTATGTGTGTGGGCGGGTACCCATGGGGCGGGTTTACCTAAACCCAAACCCAACCCGACCCGGTGAATAGTGTAGCGGGTTTAAACCCGAACCCGGCCCAAAACCCGTCAACACGGGTTTTACCCGCGTTGACCGGGTTGGGTCGGGTGGGTACCCGTGGGTTCGGGTTTTGTTGCCATCCCTAATGTTGAGGTGACATTTGTGATGGTTGGATAATGTGGTGGAAGGTGTACATGTTAAGATGTGTAGGCTGGAATTTTGAAAAAAAAAGGACCCTAGATACTAGTATTATATCGAATTGAAAACACCGTGTCTCCTAATTAATACGAGAAGCCTTACATAGCATTTCGCAACTCATTTCTGTAAGGAAATAATATAACATTTATGCTTAGGAAAATTTCCAACAACTCTAGGTGTTATGATATATTGATTATGCACATTTTCCATCCTCTCCTTCTCCTTGGGGTGCGGATAGAATAACAACACTCTTAATGTAGTTATAGTAACAACATAATTCATTAAGGGTAAAAGAGTAAATTAACTATAAAAAATAAAAAATGAACTGTGTTCACACCGACCTCGTTGTACCATCAAATCAATCAAGTCCCCCAAGACAGACACTAGTACACTACTCCCGCCGCCGCCGCCTTCAGGCTAATCTGAACGTTTTCTCTGGCCAGACGACGTTGAACGAAGACAACCGACCTGCCGCAACCTCCTTCAGCTGGCCGCCTCCGTCGAGGTCATCATACAGGACTGAGTCCTCGACGACGTCGTAGTGTTCGGACATGACGGAGCCGAAGGTGAGGAGCCAGTCGGCCTCGACGAGGAGCGAACTGGCATTGTTGGAGGAGACGGCGGCGGACGTGAGCTTGACCCCTGCGATATCGGTGTCAGGTTCGCCGTCACCACATCCGATATCGTCATATCGGCATCTCTTCCGCCAACAAATAAACCCACCCAAATTCGGCGGGGTTTTCCTCCCCACAATTCGCCGGGATTGGATAGATCGTCGGGAGGAAAAAGGAAGTGTTTTAGCGCGGCGGATTTTGTGGAGGAAATGGTGACATTGAGGATTTCTTCTTGGACTTGATGCGTGGAAGGGAAGGTCGAAGAAGATGAAGGACTACCTCCTTGGCGGCGCCATGAAACACGACGTTCCTCTCCTGGAAGACGTGGTCACTTCCTCAACGAAGAGAGCCCCCAGGAAGTCACCAACCACAGGGGCGGAGCTATGTTGTTCTTCGGGGTGGCCTCGGCCCCCGAGAATTTTGAAATCACGTGTTAAGTTCGATAGGAATTTGAAAATTTACGTATACACCTAATAATATAATTAAATTTGTGTGCAAAATTGTGACATCAATGTTTGGGTGGCTCAGTGGAAGGATTCACGCTTGTTACATTCAGTGGCCGGGTTCGAACCCAGTGCACCTCCCTTTTTTACATTTTAGAACATGGAAGTTTAATGTACAGTAGTTTAATTTGACCAAAGAGCAATTTAATAAGTTAATAATTATCATATATAGGTCAATTTTAATTTCTTTAAAATTAAAATATAGTTTAATTAATTTCCTCAACTTTTAAATTTATATTCTTAATGATTCTCTTGGTTAGATGATTAATTATGTAACTTTTTCTTTGACAAAGAGCAATCTTATAATTTTTATAGTATGTTTTATAAGTATTTTACTTTTAATAATTTGTTAAACATAGCATTTAGAAAATTTGTTTTAGATTCTAATTTGAGTGAATTTTTAATATAAAATAAAGTCTTATATTATTATTATTATACTATTAATTAATAATATTATTATTATTATTTTCTTAATAATTTTCTTATCATTTGTTTACTTTCGACGATAATGTACTAGCTAACTCCGGCCCCCCGATCGCCCAATCCTGGCTCCGCCCCTGACCAACCACATCCACGACTTCTTCAAGGACAAGTAGTGCTACTGCACCTCTTCATCTTTTTCTTTTCTTCAATAATACCTCCTAGCTAGAGCTTGGTGGAGAACTATTGCTTCTCCTTACGTGGCGGGGATGGTGGAAGGTCCAATCTTTGAGAAAGGCTGTCTGTAGTAGGGATGGCAATGAGTCGGGTTGGGGCGGGTTTTGTCAAACCCAAACCCAAATCCATGGGTTTATCCTCCAAAAAAACCCGCGGTAAAATCCGTTGGGTTTGAAAAACTCAAACCCAACCCAACCCGCTGGGTATCCGTGGGTTAATGGGTACCCGTGGGTTTTTCTAGTAAAAAATTTACAATAACAAGTTTCTTTCAAAATAAAAGTTTAACATCAATTTTCTTATACAAATTAATCATATAAAAAACACCAATCTAGAGCATACAAGCAAACCGCAAATGATCAGTACAAATTGTTCAAAATTAAAGATAAACATCTATAAACAACAAGATTAATTGAAAGTTTCTTCCTCATTAACTAAGTTTCTTCATTCTTCACTTCATAATATCAACTTCATTCTAAACAATTAGAAAGAACAAATTATACATGTCTCCCCAACATAAAGAATATTAGTTGTTTAAGGAAGATATATTATTTAGAATATTAAATATACCGGGAAAGTAATTATATGTGTGGACGGGTACCCATGGGGCGGGTTTACCTAAACCCAAACCCAACCCGACCCGGTGAATAGTGTAGCAGGTTTAAACCCGAACCCTGCCCAAAACCCGTCAACACGGGTTTTACCCGCGTTGACCGAGTTGGGTCGGGTGGGTACCCGTGGGTTCGGGTTTTGTTGCCATCCCTAATCTGTAGTGTAGCGACCAACCGGTGGGCTTGAGTTTTGTCCAAGAAAATGAAATGGCCGAGCCTAAATAAATCCCATACGAAAATTTGAAGAATTGCATCTCGGGTCAAATGGTCAATGAAATTGAAAAGCAAACTACTGCAATTTAACTCATTTTAATTTTCATTGCAGATATGAGATACACCAATTCAGTTCACTTGTAATTGCAATTAGTGAGTACAAGTCAATTTTATAATTTTCCTAATGCAGAGCACAAGTCACTAAAACAAACCGAAAACAGAATAAACAAAATCACAAATATTTCTAACACCAAAAACCCCCTAGTGCAAACCACAAACGCAATAAAACAACCCACAAAAAATATATCGGAAACCTCCTAATGCAAACCACAAATTCGCTAAAACATATTAGAAACCCCACAAAGCAAACCATAAATATTTTGCAAAGCACGCCAGAAACCCCTTAATGCAAACCACAAACACGGTAAAGCAAACCAAAAACGTTCTAATGTAGACCACAAATATATTAAAATAAACCAGAAACCTCGCAAAGCAAACCACAAAAGTTTCGAAAGCACACCAGACACTTCTTATTGCTAACCATAAACCTCCTAATGCATACCTCAAATCTCTTAAAACAAACCACAAACCTCACAAAGCAAACCACAACATTTGCGAAAGCACACCAGAAACCTCCTAATGCAAACCACAAACACAGTAAATCAAACCACAAAAAAGCAAACCATAAACGTCCTAATGCAGACCACAAATTTATTAAAACAAACCAGAAACCTCACAATGCATACCACAAAATTTTTGAAAGCAAACCAAAAGCTTCTCAATGCAAACCACAAACACAATAAAGCAAACCAGAAACTTCTCAATGCAAACCACAAACACGATAAAGCAAACCACAAAAAGCATACGAAAATATGAGAAACCAAACCATAAATCTCACAATGTAGACCATACATCTGGTGGTCGTTGACCGTTGACCGGTCAACGAAGACCGTTGACCGAACTCCGGTGACTATCAGTCAGCAGATTCCGACACCGATAGCCATATTCCGGCCCCGATGACTAGATTTTGACGCCGGTAATCATATTCCGACCGCGGTGAGCATATTCCGACGGCGGTGGAATATTCCGATGACAAAATAGCATATTCCGGCGACAAAAAAAAGCATATTCCGGCGACCGGTTTCCGGCGACTTGTGGCGGAATTCCGGCGACCAAAATTTTGGGCCGAAAAATAAAAAAATATTTTTTATTATTATTTTAACATATTTTTCATAATGACAATTATACCCCTACTTTGATTTTACACTAGTTCAACTCATCTAATAAAAAGTCATCACAACCCTAACTTCCTATTGGTTGGAGATTAGTGTTGTTATAATAACAAAGCAAGGAGTATTGTCTAGGGATGGCAATGGGGCGGGTTTGGGGCGGGTTTG